GCACCCCCTCCCCTAAGAGTCCCCTCCCCTGAGAGCCCCCTCCTCTGAGCGCCCCCTCCAGAGCCCCCCTCCCCTAAGATTCCTCTCCCCTGAGAGTCCCCTCCCCTGAGGGTCTCCTCCCCTGACAGCCCCCTCCTCTGAGCGCCCCCCTCCCCTGAGCACCCAGGTGTTCACGTGGCCACTCTCCCCACTGGAGGTGCCGTGTGCAAGCCTCCATCCCAGCACCAGGCAGGGGGTCAGCAGGCCTCAGGGAAAGCCCAGCCCCTGCTGGAGCCTGCAGTTGAAGAGAGGGGCGAACAGGCTGCAGGTAAGCCACGAAATTAGTGCCTTCTGTTGTGTGTTCGCAGAAGGGGAGGAGTCCGATGGCCTTTCAGGGCTGAGGACACGGCCCAGGGGGACCACACAGGGGACACATGCGTGTGGGTGCTTACTCATAGAAGGAGCAGGTGCTTGGAGGCACAGAGGCTCACGGAGCTTCCAGAACTTGGTGGAGTCGGTGAAGTGAATACAAACGAGCCCTGTTACATTCTCCAGGCTTTTTGAGGCTTTTTTGTTTCCATTCTTTCCTCTGTTCTAAACAGTCAGCTACCTTCACCAGTGTGGCTGATAGACTTGTAGATAGATAGATAGACAGATAGATAAATAGATAGATAGATGATAGATACATAGATGATATATGGATAGATACATACATATATACATACATATGTGATAGAAAGATCTAGATGGATGGATGGATGTTGGAGGGATGGACAGATTGATTGATGATGGACAAGGATGACTGATAGAAAATGAGTCAATCAGTACATGACAGATGGATAGAGATGGGTAGGTAGAGAGGACACTTGTATATATTTGTACACGCTTGGACACTTATCACTGACACACCTATGACCCCCCTCCACATACACACCAGCTGACACTTTCCGGGGTGGTTACTACTCTGGGCTGGGGGGAGCACGGGCTGTCGCGAGGCAGACAAGCCACAAATCCACCCCATGTGAGCATGTGGTTGCATATTTGATAGGTGCCGTGCAGCCCCCGTGGGAGGTTGTGGGACCATCTTTCTGCTAGAGGTCCACCGTGGCCTCTGTTAGGGAGTGGAGTTCTGGACGGCAGGATGAGGGGCAGGGGCGCAGGCCACGAGGAAAGAGGGGCCCCAGGCACGAGGGCCCGAGTACAGAAAGCACCCCGAGGCCTGGGGAAGCAGATGCGGGCAGGCGGGGACAGATGGGAAGCTGGCACACGTACAGGACGCTTGGCCACACTCGCTGAAGCCCCACATCATCCTTACTCCCGGGGGCGGCCTCTCCCACAGTGTAGAGGAGAGATCTACAGCCTGAGCAGGTGTCTGCGGAGGGCCAGCCTGTAGCCCTGCATCGCTTCCTTCGCTTGGTGCCCGGCTGCTGGGTGGATGAAACCCCCAGAGAAAGATTCAAAGGGGGCTCTGTGCATCTGGGCCCCCATACTTGCAGTGGAATGTTCTGTTTTGCAAAGGTGATGAGGTTGTGCTCTTAGACCGTAGGAGGAGGGAGGCTGTCTGTCTGTCTAGACACAGGTCTCACACATGCTCCTGCACCCGGGCTGGGCCACCACCCCATCTTGAACACAGCCTGGTGGCCAGAGGCATGACCCCCACCATGAAGCCCGAGATGGCCTGTGTCCCCAGCCATGACCACAGACTGCTGATAAGTCCCAGCAGGTCATTATGGTTTTTCCTGGCTCTTAAAAGCTGCAAGCGAAACCATTTATGTTGATGCCGTTTGACAAAACCCGTTTCGGTTCTGTAGAAACCGCTCTCCCTACAGTGGAGAGTGATTCTGGGTCCCCGTGAGCCTGCCCCCCGGCCCCTGTCGGACCTGGAGCAAGTGACAGTTTCAATGTGGACACTTCACCCCGTTTAACCTCAAGCTCTGTTTCCCTTACCGGGCAAACTTACCCGCTGGCATTATAGCCAAAAATCTTGCGATACAAGCAAAATCAGTTCCACACCGGGATAGATTCTCAAGAGTTTTGAGAACTACTTGCTTCCGGCTGATCCTGTCATATTGGAGAAAGCGGAGGCGTCTCTACACGTTTGTCATATTGGAGAAAGCAGAGGAGAAGTTACAAACTGAGGTCATTTCCCACCCTCAGCAGTGACAGAGAAGTTCGTCTTGTGGGTTTGTGACCGTCAGTGCCCGCGTCTTTGGCTTTGAGTTTAATATGAACCCATATCATCCCACGGTCCCAGAAAGCCCAGAGCCATCCGATGGGGGCAGGGGGAGAGCTTAAATTGTGTCCATTTTTAGCAAGATTATGAGTCCAACTTGAAATATAGGTCTTCAGCCCATTGACCCACTAAGTATTTTTAGGCACGTCCTATTTTGCTGGATCACAAGTCTCTGAACTGGGGGCGAAAGATCTCGGCTCCCCGTGCAAAACGTCTCCAACTTGAAGGTGGACACGAGTCACCTGGGGATCGGGTCCTGCAGGCCACATGGGCCTGACTGTATTCCGCCAGGGGCTCCTGGTCCCCGGGCGCGGGGAGCAGGGACGCGCAGGCTCTAGAGGAACCAGCAGGGGGCGCAGCCACCTCCACTCCACCTGCCGGAGGGGCTTTTGCCACAGCGCGTGGACGGACAATAATGTGCGTCTTCCCTTTCCAGGGTGGAGAGCAGGCCCGGATTCGCAGCCGTGGAACTGCGTCTACGCAATTATTACTACGACGTGGTCAACTAACGGCCCCACGCCCTCCGTGGCCGCCTTGGGAGCAGACGAGGGGTCACAGCAAAGCCAGCCCAGTGCATGGATTTCGAGGGTTTCCACCTGCGTCTGCTGCCAGGGGAGCCGGCCTCGTGTGGAGCACGCCTGTGACCGTTGTCCCCAAAGCCTGTCCCAGAACACACCCTCCACAAAGCAGCCCCTCCTGGGAGAGCCCGGGAAGAAGGACAGCAGGGTCAGAGGGCCCGGGGAAGGATCCCTTTGTGTTTCTTGTCTGCGCGGTGTGATTTCGTGGCAGGTTACGTTCAGGATCTGTTTCTGCATCGGAAGATCTGGCAGCCTGGAGGCGTCCCGTGTGCCGTTCTCCGCGGCCAGGGGTGCGGCCGGCCTTGCGGTCTGCGGTGGAGGGAAGGGGAGCAGAGGGGAGCTGGCTGCCTCCAGAACTTGGCTCCGACCGGTCCTGCCACCGAAAAGCTGCCCTGGTGACACAAGTCCTTTGAGGCTGAAAAAACACAATCCAAGCACGTAGCCAGTTAAAGGGGATAAAAAGTTTGGAGACGGCATTTGCTCTGTGTGATCTCAGACGGAAGACGCACACCTGCGTGGACAAGGGGGCTCTCGGCACGGACCGGCTTGGCTTCCTTTCCCCTGAAACAGCCTCTCTCCCGCATGCTCTCCCAAGACCGTGCTTTCAGGGGACTAGTAAATAAAAGTCGTGCAGGCGGTGGAGGGCCGTGATGTCTGTCACCGCGGGCCTGAGCGAGGACAGACAGCAGGACGCCACGGGTCCTCATCTCCTGAGTGAGGTCCGAGCTCCCCTCCGCCAGAGAGAGGGTGTCGCCAGAGTTCCCAGCCCTTTCTGTGTTCACTGCAGGGGGGGACAAGCTGGTGGCCAAGGCCCTCTAAACGCGAGCCTCCTAAGAGTGTGTTAATTCCTAATAAAGCCGCAGACCCTGACCCTCACCACAAGTATGCCTGAGTGTGACTTTGGGTTGAAGGTGCGAGACGAGGAATTCTCTGCTAGTTCCCTAGGCGTAGTGAACCCCCGAGCAGGGTTTGGGCTTACACGAGTCACTGGCCCACATACACCAGTAAAGTTAGGATCAGCTGCCATGGGCTGGATGACGCGGGGTGACGTCTGGACCAGAGGCCCCGGCGCTGAGCTGCGGGTACCCTTCAGGTGCCGGAGCGTGTCTGTCGCGGGGCCGCACGTGGAAGGCTCGGTGACGTGAGCTAAGTCTGGAGGGGAAGGACTACTCACCACGCGTCTGCCCTGCCACAGGGTCACGCGCACTCCCTGTGCCTTTACCTGGGGGCCCTTGTTTAGCGGGAACAGAGGGGCCTCATGGACGGAGGACAGACAGCCTGTTCTGGCCAGAACCATTTGCTGACGCCGTGGACACCGCGTTCCCCCACGGCGGGACTGAGGTTTCCGGAAACGATTACTCGTTGCTCCTCTGAGCGTGTCCCCACACGGGCTGTCACCAGCCTTGGTGGCGACTTCACTTCGTCCCCTGCCCGGCGGCCGCCGCTCCGTCTGGATCTGCACGCGTGGAGGTGCCTGCTGGGCTCTCGGGCCCCGTCGCCCCGCAGAGCACACTCGACCGGATCATCAGTATTCTTCCTCCATCTCAAGAACTGCTTTTTGTCACTGGACTTTTTAACTGTGATTTTTTTTTTAAATAAAAGTTTTAAATTGGTTTGATGATTCTTTTCATGGATGTTACTGGAATGTGGTAGGATGCACTCTCAAATAAACTGTTAAACAGCAACTGTGTGTGTGTGTGTGTGTGTGTGTGCGTTTTCTTGTGAAGTTCCCAGTTGCGTCCCGGAAGGATGGACACACACAGAATCCTCGGACGGGTCCGTGAGCTTGAGCTGCAGATGCCTGCCAAGGGGGCCCTGGCCAGCCGTGACCGTGCTCGTGGGTTCCACACACGGAGGGCCTGACCCTGACCCAGAAGTCCCGGCGGGTGCCAAAGCAGCGCTCCGGGGTCACAAGCTCTGTCTTTGGAAGATTGCTTAGGGAGCACCGGGGGAACTGAGGAGGGGATTCCGGAGCCCTCATCTCCCCCTGTTTTCTCCAGGGTGCCACACGCTCACACACTCCCGTACACAAGCATGCACACCACATACACGCCTACACGCTGCTCACATTACATGTGTGCACACTCATACGTGCACGTGCACACCATGTACACACCTACACACAGCTCACGTTACACGTGCACGTGCCTCATACGTGCACGTGCACACCACGTACGTGTCCACACACCGCTCACATGTACACAGCACGCGCCTATGTGCACATGCACACCTTGTACACGCCTACATACCGCTCAAGTGTACACACGCACATGCACACCACGCACACACCTAGACACCGCTCACATGCACACACCACATATACACACTCGTGCATCACGTACACGCCTACACACCGCTCGCGTGTACACGTGCACACACCTTGCACACATACACACCTACACGCCGCTCACATGTCCACGGGCACACGTGTGCCCACCATATACACGCCTGCACACCGCTCACGTGTACATGTGCACACCCCTTGCACACACACCACATACATGCCTACACGCCGCTCACATGTCCACGGGCACACGTGTGCCCACCATATACACGCCCACACACCTCTCACGTGTACACGTGCACACCCCTTGCACACGCATGCATGCCACGTACACACCTGCACACCTCTCACGTGTACACGTGCACACACCATGCACACACACACCACATACACGCCTACACGCCGCTCACATGTCCACGGGCACACGGGTGCCCACCATATACACGCCTGCACACCGCTCGCGTGTACACGCACACACACCGCACACTGAAGCGCACCCCACGTGACCCCTTCGCGGCCAGCGTGGGGCAGTTGTCCCGCCTCGGGATGCGCCGGCGGCTCTTTTCGTCTAGGCCTCTCCTGGCCACCAGCCTTCCCCCCGGTCCCACTGACGGTCCCGTGCTCCGGCAGGCAGAGGTTGGGGGGCCTGGGTGGGCTGGCCTCACACTCCCTTGGTGGCCCTGGGAGCAGGACGGCCACGAGAGCGGAAGGACGGACTGCCAAACGGCCCGGGGCCTGCTGCTCCGGAAGCAGTACGTGCCCAAGACGTGGCAACAGAGAACAAAACAGACAGCTGGTCCCCGGCACCAACCACGGTGGGGCCTGAAACTCAGATGAGGCTCACCCGCCCTCCCGCGCCGACACCCGTGAGCGCGCAGACGCAGGCCCGTCGGCAGTTGCGGAACCCGTCGCTGCTTCGGGGGCAGCGGGTCCCCCTGAGTCACCGCGCTTCCTCAGGCGACGTGAGCCAGGCGGAGGTGAGGCCCCAGCCCTGCCCCCTCCTGCCCCCCTAGAGAGGCCGAGGAAGCACCCCCATGGGGCTTCCTGCACCTGTGAGCCTGTGCTGTGCGACCAGAACTTTCCCTGATGGAACAGCTGGGACGCCCGGCTCAGCCCTCCCTGCGTAAGGGGCCCGGGGCCCGGGGCCCGGTGGCCCACTCAGACTTCGAGGACTTTGCCACAAAGACCTTTTCACACGTTCTGGCCGGCTCGGCATTTTCCCGACTCCTTTGACCACAGACCCACTGTTGTGCTCAGTGTCTGTTAGCAAGACAGGGCCGGTGTTCTTCGCACACGCTGGGAGACTGCACAACGGAGGCATCGCACAGGGACCCTCAGCGCGTGTCCTTGAGCTCAATTATCCGAGTTATTAGCTGAAGAACCAGCCCCGTCCTGATCTCTAATGTTGGTTGTTTACACACCATGTTGTCTCTCTCTCTCTCTCTCCACACACACACACACACACACACACACACACGCAGCCCAGAACACACATAATCAATCACCCCTTCCCAGAAAAGAAAATCTTGATCACCTGGAGGGCCCAGGCCACATAACGTGGTGTTTCGTTACATAGAGCTCTTATTATTTTGGAGTTTTGCAAAACTCGCCCAGAGGGAAAAGCACACTTTTCCGGAGACGCCACCACCCAATCCAGTAAGATCGCCTGCCCCAGCCTGCGCCAAGCCCCAATCTGCCTGTCTCTGTCCGTCTCTTCTTCACTGGCCGGGGGTTGTTGGTTACCGCCTCTTCATGGGCGTCAGCTGAGCAGGTGACGCTCTCTGCCCACATGCCACTCAGCCGGGAAGGTTCCGGGAGCTATTTTTTTAGCTAGGGCGTTATTTTACCAAAGCCATGAGTATAAGACATGATGCCTCTGCAGCCTTTGAGGTCTGGAGATGACTCAGTTTTCCACGACTATCGTTAAACGGTGGGACAGTGAGGGAAAAACACAAATTGTCTCAGAAATCCACTCTTTCCTCGCTCACCACGATAAAGAGCCGGCCGGTGTCTGTATCAGAGGACATTGTGAATTTCCAGAGGCCGTTGAGGATGCCAGAATGTGCCGGAATGCAGTGCTGTAAACACTCCCTGCTTGGGACTAGCTGCTGGGAGTCCTTTCCCTCCTGACGCAACAGGGGAGGTGGAAGGGGAGGCCAGCAGCCTCACTGCCAGTGGACACCTGCCCCGGGATGGGCAGGATCACGCCGGGGAGATTCCCCCCGAAGAAAAGCAGTGCCCAGTGAAAGCCTGGGGGGAACACGTAGCCTTTTTAATTGACTTTATTTCTGCCACCAAAACACCTAGACCCGTGTTCGCTCTGGGACTCTCTTCCCTTAAAAGCGAGTAAGATACCCCCCCCCCCCCCTACTTCCCATTCCATAATAGTCTGCCTCCAGGTCTTTCCTGGGCGCTCTTGTGCACGAGCGGTGGTCTCCCACGGCTGCTTTCTGATGTAGGGTGGGGGAGTCAGTCCATCTGGAGCCCCCACTTCTATCTCTGTCTGCAAATACAGGGCCCAGAGTCGGCCAGTGGGGCCCGCGTCGTTTTGCAACGTCCCCCCAGGACCGTGTGGGTGCGACTGTGATAAACTGGCATCTTTTTGTTCCTGAGTTTCTTGGGCTCCTAATGCTCCTTTCAGCACGAAAATCACTTTCTGTTATTAACCCACTCGGTCACTGGTCCCAGGTATGCAGAAGGGGTCTCCCCTCCCGCCCCCCAAGTGAGCCCCCGTCCCGCACAACCCCCAACGTCTGGATCGTCCCTTTTCAGTCTGCGATGAAAGGCCTGCGTCTCCGGCCCCCACTCTGGCTCCCGGGACGCCGGCCGGGTGCCCAGCACAGAGGCCCGAGAACAGGGGCCCGTTCTCTGCAGACCTGCCGGCATTTTCTCCGGGGAATTGGATGTTTGCAACGACTATCAGTCCTCCCGCCCCTGAGAAACCAGACCAACCGGCAGAGCGGACTTCACGACAGATATGTTTTCCCTCACGTGGGCCCCTGGGGCCACAGTGGGTCTTAGAAGCAATGCCCCGCACTGCTGGTGGACAGGGAGGGATGCCTCCCCGGCCTGGGCACGCAGCATAGGCCACTGGGTGGCTCTCGGAAGCGTCGCCGGGAGAGAAAGCAGGTGGACACCGCGTGCGTCCGTGGCACTCGAGAGTGGCGTTGGACTCCGTGGGTGTTCTCATCTCCCCTCTCCCCGCTTCTGGCTTTTGGAAAACATCAAGGTCAGCCCTCAAGGGTCAGAAGGGCAAACACCTAAGCAATGATGCCCTACGGCACCTCTGGGCACTGACAGACCAGCGCAGAGAGGGCTTCGTGGTAAGAACGCCGAATGAGGCGTGAACGCCTGAGCGTTGTCCGCGCGGGCAAACGTGCGAGCTGGCCTGGGACACTAACTTGGGACGCAGGGCTCTGTCATAGATACTCCATCGGTACTTTTCACAGGTGGCAAATGCTTTCAGGCGTACCTTCTAGTTTAAGTCTAAAAACAACCAACTTCTGAGACAGCTGTCATCATTAATCTCTCATTTCACAAATGAAAGGCCATGACTCGGAAAAGAGGCTGACTCAGCTTTCTTGATCTAACGCCCCTGTTCCTTAGGCCTGACTGCACCATAGAGTTTTTTAGATGTACATTTACTTATTTTGACAGAGAGCAGGAGTCGGGTGGGGGGGGAGGTGGGCAGAGAGAGAGGGAGAGAGAGAATCCCAAGCAGACTCTGCAACGTCAGCGCAGAGCCCGACGGAGGGGCTCGATCCCACGAATCGTGAGATCACGACCTAGGCTGACATCAAGAGTCAGACGCTTAACCGATGGAGCCACCCAGGCACCTCTGCCCTGTAGAGTCTTCAATGGAGCCTTAAAACTGCAGGTGCCCTGCCTCTATGCCCAGAGCTCAGCTCCACCGGTCTGGAAGGGGCCCAGGGCCACGGGCATTGACAGTGTCTCTGGGTGCACCGGGAGGTAGGTCTGTGACTCACCACCCTGTGTGACCCGGGAAACACGGAACCACTGGGGACCTGGGACCGGAAGATGAGGATCAGAGCCAGACCCGAGTTCCAGAAGGTTGGGTTCCTCTGTTCGAGGCCAAGTGGTGTCGACCCAGTGTTCTCAGGATGGCTCATGGGGTGGTCGCCAGCAGAATGCCGTAAGGGGCCCCGGCGCGTCCACAGTGGCTCAGTGATCGGCCCAGGATGACGCAGAGGAACACGTGGGATCCAGGCCTTGCTCAGGAGAAGAATCCAGGAGAGCCCAGCCTCGAACGCCACAACCAGAACCTGTGTCCCCAGCTGGCGTGGGGGGTGCCCAGCAGTGAACAGAGCCCAGGGTAGTTTGCGCCCGAAGCCATTCCCTTACACAGATACCAGGGACGTCCT